CTCAAAGCTCTTTAACATGAGGAAAGCAGCTCATGGATCAGGATGGTTTCCATTCCAGTTCTCCCTAAAGTTGGGGCCTTTAGAATCACTGGCTCTCCAAGTTTTCTTTTAGTCTAATGAGTCTAGGAACTCATCTGTCTATGTAACATCATCCTATTCAATTTCATATTTTCAAAGAAGAACAGTGGCTAAAACAAGAGGGCATTCGTTGTAATGTGATTCTTAAGCATTCAGAATTGTTTTTTCATTCTTGATTGCTGAGGGAAGATGGAACCAGAGAGAAGTCTGCACTGTGCACATGTTCCCATCATACAAGTGGCTATGCCATATCATCTAGAGAGTCCCCTAGCTTAGAATCACTTCACATTAGCAGTTCTTATTCTAAGGAGTTCACAGAGCTCAACTGGTCAGATGCTAAATTGCTAAAATGAGAATATCACAGAAAGAAGGTTATCACTACCATTGCTGACTGAATGACATCACAGATTAAACTGCAGAGCTCATGGGAACTTTAAAGATTGTCTAACACAATTAACTCCTTTATTTCATAGTTCAAGCACAAAAGGGCTCAGAAAAGAAATACTTGATCAAGGCCAGTTATTGTGAAAGTCAAGGCTTAAACTTAGATCCCATGTGCTTACCATCGATGCCTGAGACACAGCAACCTTGTCTATAAAAGAAAATTCACAACTTCTTTGGGGAAGCATGTTTAGTGCCCCATAAAATAAACTGTTCCTTTGAAGTTTTGTTTTGAGCTTTCCCTCCCTTAATATAATTTCAAAATCTTTTCATTAAAAACATATAAGTATTGTGCAATACTAAATATGCTTTTTCAACTTATGAGTGCAATTGTAGAAGATTTTTATATACTTCTCTAAGGAAGTGAACCCCTTGGGATGATAATGAATGGTTTTACAGTTTAGTGGGGCAGACAAAATATCAAACTGAAAATTACAATGATGAATCCAGAGTGGGGACTTCAGTGGGAAGGGGAATTAAACCCTAACTTGAAAGGGCAAGGAAGTATCCCCCAAAATTAGAAAGGTAAAAGCTGAGTTGAGCTAAGGCTTTAAGTTGAGTAGGAGTTAGGCAGGCAGAGCAGGCATTTCTGACCAAGAGAGCTACCAGGTAAAAGGGCCCAGAGGCAGAGATGATAGAAATTTCTGGAAATTTCAAGTGGTCCAGTTTGGCTGGTGGCTCTGTGGTGGTGGCAAGGGGTGACTTGTGTTCTCTGAATGAACAATTCCAATGGCTTGCCCCAAGCAAACACAAACTGTAAAAAGATCATGTTTGCCATGCCAGAGCTGCCCCATAATATAAGTTCCCCTACACCACCCAACCATCAACTTATTAATTAAAAGTTCATACACAAGGGCTGGGGCTATGGCTCAGTGGTAGAGCGCTCACCTAGCACATGCGAGGCCCTGGGTTTGATCCTCAGCACCACATAAAAATAAATAAATGAAGATATTGTGTCCAACTAAAAAATAAATATTAAAAAAATAAATAAATAAATAAAAGTTCATATACAATATAACTAATGGAGGTACAGTGAAGGAAACAATGGACTGGAACTTACCAGTTAGTTACTGTGGGCCTCCCTAGTGAGATTAGCTGCCCCATTTCCAAAATGAATAGTTGACCATGCCCTGAGTGATCTTTAAGGTTCCTTTTGGCTCTGTATTTGTGAGGACCCCACCAGATTTAAGTTACTAAAAGATTAAATGTAGAGGTCTATAGACTTCCACAAAGGCACAGGCCAATCAGCAACCAAACCTCCCTGGCCTTTATTCCATCATCACTTCATAAAAGGCCATGTGATCCAATTGCAATGTTTCCTAACTATCAGTTGGACAAGTAATTTTTATTAGGAAGCACTGGTCAAATGGATAAAATATTCAGCTACAGGTTAGGAAATCACAGCTTTCTCTCAGGCCCCTGTAAAGGGGGGGGGGGGAGCAACAAAACAAAGAGGAAGCTTCTGTCTATATTCCTAGAAAGAAAATGTGTGAAATATGCAAAATGATGGTAAATATAATATTTATGAATAGGAAGATTCACTTTACACATGCACAGAAAGTTCACCAACAATAATCAATTTAAAATTAGCTCCTTAAAGATCAGTAGAGGAAGGATAAGGGGAGACAAGAGGGGAGGGAAAATGAGGGGCACAGGGACTGAAATCAAATTCCATGCATGTATGATTTTGTCAAAATGAATCCTACTGCTATGTGTAACCATAATGCTCTAATTAAAAAAAAAAAAAAAAAAAAAAGCTCCTTGAATCAATCACAAAACTCACAATCAGGGCCAAGACTGGTTTTCAGACTTCACCATGCATCACAATTACCGAAAACTTCTCCTGAAAGGGGGAGGTAGCTTTCAGAACCCTCCCACTGAGATTTTCATTCAGCTGCAGGGCTGTTCAAAGTTGTATCTCACGTGCTCCTTGGGAAATTCTCATGGGAGGTGGTCATGGGACAAAAAGTTGAATCTAATAGTCAGGAATAAGGTACAGGCATGCAGGGGGCAGTGATCTAGGAATTAGGGCATAGGCTTCAGGTGCCTTTCCAGGCAGTAAGTGAACAGAGAAAAGGGGAAGAGGTATAGTTATAAGTGGGTCTGGAAGGTCTCGTACTCTTCCATTCATTTAATATTTATTGTGTGTCTATATGGACCAGACAGTAGGAATTACCAAAGCAAGCAAGACAAACGAAGTCCCTGAGTTCATATTAACATAGCTTCTTACAACTGTCCCTACATACCTTTTAAAATTGCTGCAGTTCCTCAGTCAAATCTATAGCCCAAAATGCTCCAATGATTCCAATGCATGAGGGCCCTCCAGCACAAGTAGGAAGAATGAAAAAAGGCAAGCCCTGAGAGAGATACTGCTGCTGGAACTAAAGGTTCAAACCTTCAAGCATTGAAGAATACACTGAAGGTGCTTCCTACCTTGTATGGTTTGTGATATGGGAAGATGTGAGCTAAAGGCTTCCTGGAGAAAGCCCTATTCAAGGTACACAGCTCTGCAAGCTGGATTAACCAAATAACAATATCCCCGGTGAAGAGCATTCTATGATATGCCATGCTGTTTCTGCTCTAGTGTCTCACCTTTTGATGAGCAAGTATTCTGACAAACCACTCCTAAAGCAGTATGGGTGCTATTACTCTCTGCCCCAAGAAAGAATCTAAAGCACTGGGCCAGGTATTGGAGACTTTCTACACTTTGGTCCTACCTCCCCTATCTTCTTTACTGTTTCCTCCTCAAACATTGTAGGATATCCTTCCTTTGTTGGCATCATCTGCAAATTCCCTTCCTACCCATTTTTCTTGGCTTGGTTTAAAAGTCTAGAAGCTATGACCCTCTCAGCAAGGAAAGCCTCTGTCCTCTGAGTTCTCCAAAGTCCTTGGGTGCTTTCCTCACAGATAGAGAAGTGCTTTCTTGGCTACGTAATTTATCTTCCAAGGCAGGGTGTGCTTTTTGAGGAGAAGGATTGTTTTCCTGCTGCTTTTTTTTGTTATTTTTTAAAAATCCCTTCTCAGGACCTAACACAGTCCCTCAGTATTTGTGAAGTGTGACACCAAGGTTTTTATTCTATCAGGGGATTCACTTTATGTTGTTACCTTATTTTAATGCATTAGTCAGCTATAAATTTACTCCAATGGTCATATTAATGAAGCAGGAACAACTCTGATTTGAAATGAAGACAAAGTTTTACTAATCAATTGATAATGTTTTGTGCATTGGATTTTTGGGGAGACCTTGAAGGAGATTTGGGTTTTTTAAGTTTCTCACCACTCCTCCCATAATCTTACTCCTACCTGCTCCACTTCCTTTATTACCTGCACTGTACCCACCCTTATTCAAAACCACTTTTAGCCTTTTAGGTGCCTAGGATGTCCACTTTCAAAACTTTCCACCCTTACCTCCCTCCCCATATTCTTTCAGATCAGAAGAGGTAAAGTTTTCATTATCCTGGTTGCAAAGTGTATTATTCATGCAGTTTCAGGAACTCTAAGGCTGCCCTCAAATCCAAAGTGGTGATCCTGAGTGACAAGTTCAACACACTCATAATTAATACAAGGCCTGTGATATTTAAGCAAATTCCAACTAGGTAACAGTAATTTCTAGATCAAACATAGAGATTATATTTGCTGATTTCTAAATTGATCTATTTTGCTGCTTTTGTTAAGATATTATGGGCTTTGTTGCTTTACTTATTTTTACTTACAGAGAGGGGAGAATATTAAGTGAATACCCCCAGGTGCCAAGCACTGTGTTAGACACTTGAATGGACTTCATCTGTTACAATGATCTTAACAGACACACAGTTCCATTTAACAGATGAAAAACTAAGGTCAATGGACATTATATGATTTGCCCCAAATCATAATTTGTGAAGCAAGAATTCCATTACTGGTTCTTTTCATACAAAGCTCATAGTCTTTTGGTTATACCATGCTGCACCCTTAAAGTAAACCAGAAGTTCATTCTGGCTAACTGGTCTTCCACTTCAAAATAGAGATCACCAAAGAGACATAACCTCCAAGAAAGGAACTTTTGACATTCCTGTGAAAAAGAAGCACCACCCGGCCACTAGAGATACAAACTTATTTTATCAGGATCTCAATTGTTCTGTTCTCTTTTCCTAAAGAGAGTACTGAATCCACCCAATATCACATATTACCTGCCCAACCACCATGGCACCTCTTTACACCATTATAAGCTCCAAATGATCAACTACTTTTCAAAGCAAATCACAGCCCAAAATGTATTACTTCCAGTTTTTTTCTAGAAATTAGGTGCAATGTATAGTGGAGTAAATGTGGAAGACTGCAGATTTCACAAAGATGTCAAATCTTACATTTTGGCATAATGTAATAAAATTGGCAAAGACCATTAAAGCCAACAACCTCTCAAAAAAGGATAAAATTATCCTATAACCAAGTAAACACCTGTTGTCTTTTCCATTTAAGATTTTAAATTAAGATTTCATTTATTCATTCAACAAACATTTATTGAGCACCAGCAACTGAGCTAGATGCTAAGGAATATAACTGTGAACAAGATAAACCAGGCTCCCGCCCTGACTGGATACTTTTGCTTTAAATGATCTTGCTAACTACTGCGTACTTTTTGTTGTACTCTAATAGAATTATATTTTTGGAAAGTCAGAGTCATACGAGAGGCCTCTTCTGGAATACTTTTAAAGTTTCTTTATGGTAAACTTAATAGAAATCTTTGTTTAACTTAGAGAAGAAGGATGGCCTCCAGGATCCTCCCACGAGCAATTGAAGGTCGAGTTGGCTCTCAAGCAATATGGTGGATGGAGACCATCGAGGCAGTTTAGACCATTCGGTTGCGCTTGTGGGACGGGGAGTCTGTGATACCATCACCGAACTGGGCCGAAGTGCGCTTGCGGATCCCCCCACTGTCCAGGTGGAGGGCTAGTTCTTCGGAGCCAAAGGGGTTCAGGTCATCCTCGAGGAAACTACTTTTTCGTCGCCCACTGCTGGCCATACCGCTGTCTTGAGGTGGGGAACCAGGCGCGCCAGATCGCACGCTGATGCTCGCCATGGCGCCATTGAGGCCATGCAGGGCAATGGCCTCGTGGAAAGGCTGCAGGTCGACGTCAACCGAAGAGCTGGACTCGGTGGCCGCAGCTTGGCTAGCGGCCCCAGAGGGTGGCTTCGGGGTCATCCTAGGGGTGCGCGGCGGGGGAGGGGCAGGGGGCACTTTGCCACATAGGAAGCTAATCAGGTCTTCGCGGCGAATGGTGCTCCGGCCCTTCTTCACCCACTCCAGCACATCTTTGATGCGACGCTGGTAGCCAACCTGGACTCCCAGGTCAAAACTTCGTTGGTGGGCATCTCCACTCTCTTTGTAGAGGCTGGTCACGGCCATGGCTGCATTCTGGAAGGGGTCCCACATAGACAGTCCTGGCTGTTGGCACCCGGAATCTTTGTAGAGCTGGGCCACCGCGGTGGCCGAGATCTGGAAGAGGTGCCAGAGCCTCTGCTGCTCGCTCTTGAGCCCTGCCGCCTCGGCGGCCGCCTCCTCCGGCAGCTCTGAGGGCAGCTGCTCGTCCTGCTCGGCCTCGTCCAAGCACTGGCGCTCCCACTTGGAGAACCAGTGCTCCGCGACCTCGGCCTCGCCCTCTTTCGGCTGCTCCTCCATCCTCCTCCTCCAGGCCGCGCGCCTCCTCCACCACCGCCTCCTCCTCCTCCGCCGCCTACTGTCGCTCCTCCACCTCTACCTCACCTCCTGCTCCGTGCTCCCCTCCTCCTTCCGCGGCCGCCGCCGCCGCCGCCGCCGCCGCCGACGCCGCCGCCGCCGCTGCCGCCGACGCCGCCGCCTCCTCCGCGTGCGCCGCCCGGCGGGCGCGCGGGCGGCAGGGCCCTGAGGCTAACTGCTACGGCGCGCGCCGCCCCACGGCCCGGGTGCACGCCCCGCCCAGCCCCGCCGGCTCGGCCCCCGGCAAATCCGCGGTCGCTGTCTCAACCGCCGCGGAGATAACCCCGCAGCCGCAGGCGCCGCCGCGCTGCCCCCTTCCGGCCCCGAGGTTCGCTCCTACTGCCCCCCTATGGCGCCGCGGCCTCGCTGCCGCCGCCTTAGTCGCTGCAGCCGCAGCGGCCAGCCGCTCGACCCCAGCCCCCGCTCGCGCCACGGCTGCCGCACTGACAACTCGGAGGGGGGCCGGCTGGAGCGCTGCCTCAAAGCGGCGCTTGCCTACTGCTTGGCCCCCTTTTCACACATTTTTGGGACTTGTCGGCTTCATCCAATGAGCTGATCAAATTTTACATCCTATGTTGCCAGAGAGGATTATGGGGGCAACTTCATGGTGTCGATCACATCCAGGGCGCTGATCCGGGGAGGCTGGGGGTAGAATGGAAAGACCGCAGCCCTCCTGAATAGGCAGGCAGTCTGGACCCCAGCAGTTTTGCACATCTTAGGTGCCCGAATAAAGTGTTTTGCGTGGACCAAAGCAGACCCTTTTCTAGAAAGGGGTGGAGTCACAGCTGGAAAAGCGCCCAGCCCCCACCACCCCAGCTTCTTGGGCCTCAGTTTCCCCACATGCCCAAAGAGGTCCTCAGATAAGGTTTCTGGAAAGCACTTGAAAGTCGTGATTGAGAACCTTCTTCCTGCCCCCGAAAGGCACTTCTTTGGGCCAGTTGAAAAGTTACCAGATTCCAAGAGTAAGGGTCAGAATATGGTATTGATTTCCACCCCCAGGATTCTTGTAAAGACTTTTATCATTAAAAAATAAGAAGAAGAATTATAGGGGAGGGGTTCTGTGTGGTCTACACTCGACTACTGAAAATCCCAAGATTGAGGGAGAAAGTGGGGGGACCCAAGAAGAATTTTCTGCTGTAGTATAAAGTATAGATTCTTTTTGGAAAGAAAAAGTGCACCTAATTACCAACACCCTAAAAATTCTGCCTTGTTAAAACATCACAATACTGAAGTTAAGCTTTAAAAGGTATGGGAAATAACGTCTTTTCCTTGGGTTCAATAACAAATCCCTTATAACCATGCAGTCCTTTTTCATTGCACACAATTCCAGAACAAACAGTTAAGAAAAATTATCACTGAACATCAAAAAGGGAGGAACTAATGTAATCATTTTTAATTCAGGAAAAACAGTCAGAATTTTACAGTATCTCTTGTAGAATGTTTGCTAAGTATCCAGAAAACCTTACAAAGATAAAGGAAGCTAAATCTTCCAGCAAAATATATTTAATTCCCAAGTATGAAAATTAGTACATAAAATAAAATGATCTAATCATTAGGCTTCATCATCTTCCTTAAAAGAAATACATGTTTCTAAGTTAAATTTAAAAGAGAAAAAGAAGAAGAGAGGATTGTGCCCTTTCTCTGCAAACTGGGCTTTTTCACGATTCATTAAACCCTTTTTCCATATGTGTAATTGGACTCTTCTCATTTACATAAACGAAGGATGAGGCAAAAGACCCAAGATCAGCCCAAAAGAAGAGATATGTTTCTCATTCTCCTATGTTAAAAAATACATTGTAGAAGTAAACTCCAGGAAGCCAGACCACTTCCTCACCCACCCACCCATACCAGGCATGAACTACTTCATGGCCAAGGGGTCAGTAGCTTTCAGGGTTGCCCTACACATGGTGCCTCACTGTTATTATCAGAGGCACATGTTTTTATTTTATTTTCTGTAAGTAAAAAGCTTGCACAGAAATGACTGACAGTAGTACACCATATCCTACTTTCCCTCCTCACGTCTGATTCGGTTAAAACCCAAGAAGAAAGACTGCACTGTCTTTAAAGAGCACAACCCTCTGCTTGGGCATGAGTTGTCTGGCTGGTACCCTCCATTCAGTTGGTTTCAGCACCTGATTAATTAGTTAATTAGTACTTACAGCTGACTAGCCCCCGGTCGGCAATTTTCATGCCCTGCATGGTGAAATGTTGAATTCAGCATTGAAATTTCTGTCGCACACCCTAATTATTATCACCCCACTACTTTTAAAGCCATTGCACCAAATTATTATTATAGACAGAGCCAGGCTACTCTGTGGGAATATGTTCTTTCTGAGAAATAATGGTAGACTTAATCAATATTTTTCACTGTTTCCCTTAACATACTTAAATAAAACAATTAAATGGGAAAAATTCTAATTCAATTAGCCTTCAACCCCTTCCACTGAGAAAATGATTTCACAAAGGAGAAATATTAGAACAACCGCACCAAGATTTTAATGTTTTATGAGTTACCCAGATGGCAAAGCATATATTTACAAGATATAGCCAATCTGAGATTAGTTTTGTTCCTATATAAGTCTAAAATGTCAAGAATAAAAAAATAGATACAAAACAAAAAGATATATATATATATATATATATATATATATATATATATATATATGTTACTAATTATATGGAAATGATGCTATCTGTGTGTGTAGGGGCGCATTTAATTTTTTTAAACTGACATGGCTTGGGAATGAGTTTTCTATGAGAAAAAATATTCCTTGGCTGCTGCCCCATTCATCCATAAATTTGATGTCATGGCTAAGGTTAAATATCAACTAGAAAAATAATAGTTTTAGAAAATAAGTTAGGTCACAAACCTAGAAGACTCAAATTTTTAACATTTCTCAATGTACCATTACCAAAAAGGAACCGGTATGTCAATGATTTCCCATATTATTGGTAGCTATTTTCTCCTTGTAACAATCCTTATATATCAGTATAGTGGGTTGCCTGTAATTGTGAAAGCTAAGTGGTACACAAAACTGGATACACAACCACACAGACCAGTAAATGGGTCGGACTGAAAGCAAAAGTAAACATCAACCTTAGGAAATGAAAGAAGTTAAAAGATAAGTGTTAAGGACCTTATTCTTTTTGGAGAATAAAACAAGATTTAGTAGCTTTCCACTTAATTTAAATGAAAAGAATCACTACCTTACATATTGCAGTGATAATGTAATGGGGAACGAAAACAAAAAAGTCTTTGTACAAATGACACCTCCTATAGTTGTTGTGAAGAAACTTTTCCCCTTGGTATCTGCTAGCAAATTCTAATTAATGCTGCACATTCCTTTACTGAAATCATTTAATGCGTAACAAGGGGGGTAAAAAGAAATGCTGAATGCTCGTGATTGCCCTGTTAGAATTATGGGAGTGAAAGCCTGGGGCCCCAAACTTACTGTCTATTAAAGCCAAGCTTTGAAAAAGAAATGCAACCTACAAAAGCTGTCAATCTCCCTTGCCCCTAAAGCCTGGGTTCACATGGATTCAAGTGACAGCCCTCCTCCCCCATGCACAATACATCAATCTGTCTCTCCCACAAGCACCCACAGCCCATTGTGCTGGCCGCAGGTGCCTATTATGGCACCCATGGCTGCCTCCCACAGCTCCGCCCCTGAGAAACAGGAACTGCAGACAATGGAACCCTGTGGGAAGACAGAGGTGGGTGTTGGGAGGGATAACAGACAGATGGTAAAGGGTATAGGGTAGTAAGGTAGTTTCAAAACAAATGTCAAACATTCAAAATTATTGCCTTCGCATGTCCCCCCCCCCTTCGCAGTTTTGAATTGCTTTTGCTTCAATCACCATCTGCCATAATTATAAAAACACTTACCTGTTAGGATGAGTATTTGCTCCCTTTTTTGGGTAACGGTGGAGGGGACGATCTTCAGTACTCTGCTGTTCCTCTAGGTTTCTCAAGGTCACAGACTGAGGAGTTTTAGTTAAGGGACACCAGTAGACCATACAGGGAAAGAAAAGAATATTTCTAATTTCAAAAAGAAGGTTTGTGATTTCCTTTTGAGCGTAATTTTGGACTGGGTAAGGTGATAAGGTTTATAAAAACTAGTTACTTTGGATAATATATTAGCAAAATCAAAGTATTATGAATCTTCCTATAAATACCATACCAAGCAGATGGAAAATTTTAGGCCATTTCTTTACTGGCAAGGAGATACTAAAAGGGAAATGAGGTGGATTCGATAATCAAAGTACTGAAGGTCTCTGACAGCCTCTTTTTCTATTCTAAAAAGTGTCAAAAAACAAACGAAATTGTAAAAATTTCTAAATGATATGCACATTAAGTACCATCATTGGGAAAAGTACAGTTTAAGCATTTCATTCTGTAAAATGTCACTTGCTGCAGTATTTTTATCTTCTGAGTTCTGGACTAAGAAGCAACAAGTAGAAGAGTTAAAATATGTATCAAAACACATGTATGTATTAATTCAAACAATTTGATTCAGTTGTTTTTGATCTTACCTGGTCATCTCAATATACCACCTATTTCTGTTTTCAATATAATTTTTCATAAATTAAAGCCAAATTAATAATAATTTTATCGCTAGTATTACTACCTGTCTCCAAAACAAAGCGGCTAAGAAAAATCTGGCACAAGTGTAAGTCATGGTCAAGACAATCGGTGACTTGTTAAGATGCCACAGAATAATGCCAGGGACTAAAACCAGCCAGTTTTCCTGAAGCAAACAAGAGGGTCTTGGTTTGCTGTCAAAAACCACAAACTAGGCTTTAACTAGGAACTGTCAGAGATCCAAGGGAGCTCCTGGCCAGGGAGAGCTTAATTAGCAGAGTTGGTTTGGGTTTTTAAATTACACACACACAAAAAAACAATCAATACAGTATGAAAGCATACAGTGGTCTAATGTAGCACAAAATTCATTATTTCATTGTGTGTGGGTGTAGTTATTTTGCACACATCATTCACAATTTAAAGTTAGATTTCAAACATTATTTTTGCACCCATCACTAGGGCATGATTCTTTCCCTCATATGTATCCTTTCAGAGATTTTTATGTGCTTTTACCAAATATAAATA